TCTTCTAAGGAATAGCTGATGACTTGGAGCGCGTTTTGAATCAGCATTAGTTCAGACAAGTTGTTCAGAGGAATGATGTAACCCGACACGACGCATCATGAATAATTGCGTTTATAGATGTCTGCCTTCCATATCACTTCCTCAGCATTGCTCCATGGGATGCTTTGGAAAGCAAATGCAAATCGGATCGGAGACGATTTCGCTGATAATCGTCTATCGCCAGCTGGTCGAGGACGTCATGATTACGTAGAATTACACTGACAGAGATAAAGTGATAAGGCTATCCCATGTAACTGATCTTTTGGAAAGATGAAGGTTCATTCGTCTATTTTTCCACAAAGAAGTTAGTCAAACGTAAATGCCAGCCAAGACTAATAACGATACGTCAGATGTGAGTGATAGTTGTGCAAATTTGCAAGTTCGTAGCTGATTTCAATTCAGAATGCGAGCGTCGACGAATTAAAAGAGGAGGCAAAGAAGTTGGTAAAGAAGATTCAAGATCATTTCTTAGCAATTGAAGAGCATAGAAAAAAGGATAGAGAGTTGTGGCGAAGCCTAAATAGGAGATTGGAATCATTGGAGGAAGTGGTAAGGAGATTTTTCCGGATTTCAATCACCCATATATTTTCTAAAAATTGATGGACAAGCTTTTCTTCAGAAATCAGAAAGAGGAAAACGAAGAGTTAGGGTCTCACAGACTAGTAAGCTAGATTTTTGTCAAGATGGTGAAATCCTAGAAATTTTTTCTCTATTTTAGACAAATGAAGAAATCTGTGAAAGAAAAGAAGTTGAACATTGTTCATATACAAGTATAAAGCACTGGGTTTTATCTGCTAAATAAAAGTGTTTTGTACTGTTTCTACTTGAGATGAAGTCTGTGTGGTACAAAATGTTCTGTAACGCTCCTCAAGAAATACATGTGAAGAGCATACTATCTTGCTTTAGTGTAAAAAAAAATTTGCGATAGATTTATTGGTCCTTCAAAGATCGTGAAATTCACGGTGTCACGTTCGCTTCGCGCGCAGGCTCGGGTGCCTATGAGCCTAAGTCGTTTGGCCTGCAGCCAAACTAAAATTGTGCTTCTCCGGTGAAGAAAAAAAATGAAATTTTGTTAGAATTTCTTTTTGTTTTCAAGCTTTTTTTCCAGTTCAGGTACCAAAAGGAGTGTAGAACGAGTAGAGTCGCAAGTTTGGTTATACCTCATTCATCTGAAGCGTTTTTTCTTTCTCACATAAAATTCAGCTCATAAACTGTTAATTCCAGTGTTGACAATCTCTCGATGACATTAGATTGAGGGTGTTTGTTTTCCCCAAAATCACATATTTTATCACCCGCATGTTTTTTCACTGATACTTTCTTAGGAATCCATTTAAGTTCTCGATCAGTCCCTTTCGCTTTTCTTCAGTTTTTTTTTTAAAATCACAAT